AAAGGCGATGAGGTGTAAGAAATACCTAGAGCAATGAGCAGTGGAAGAGCTGGTCAAAATCGGGGATTCGTAAGTCAGCATATTCATTGAGCACATGGTACTCTCTGCCCAGTGTGGGCCTGTCAAGTTAATCCTGGTTCTTGCACTTGAAGGGGTTATATTGAAATAGGGGACCTAAAACCTAAGCAAAAACAATGACAGAGGCCCCGAGAGAAGTTGGTTTTCTACCAACCTACTAACTGTCCTCAGATTCCATTTGGAAAATGACTTGCTAGTAAAAAGAAGATTGAAATGAATGGGTTGTACTAATTGTTAATGCTTTAGAACCTTCGATTCAAAAACTGAGAGGGATTAAAAACTTACCTCCTGGGCACAGTGAACACTGTCTGGTGACAGGCACACCAAGTACCTTGACATAAGCATTGTACAAGGAGTCCATGTGACAGAAACACTTGTGCACCCTTAATAGTTTGAAATAAAAACAAAAATAAATAAACTATGAGAACAGAAAAATCATTCCTTACAAGGAATAGTCAGAGAAGGAAATACCAAGAAGTGGTGGTCTAACATTAGAAAATTTGAAAAATTAGTCCGTAATCAGCCCAGAGGAATTACTTTCTACCTAGCAAGTACAGTGTTTGGAGAAGGAAAGGGTAAGAAAATTTGGACAGTGGGAGAGGAAGCCCAGAGATGGGAATTAAAGGGAGGGAAGTGGAGGGCAGAGGTTCCAAACTGAGAAGGTGGTGCAGGGCTGAGTCTAGTGAGGTTTCAGTCTAGCCATAGGAAATTTTAACGAGGGTAGTGTCTATGATGGCTTAAAAAGATGTCCACAAATTCTTTGATATTCCTTTCTTCAGAGGGTGGAGCCTGTTCCTCTGCCCGTGGGCATGGGCTGTACTTAACCAACTCACCTGTAGTGAATAGGGCATGAGGGTGGGCAGCTTCCAAGACTGGGTCACTAAAGGTGTTCTGGCCACCTCTTTGCTCTCCCTGGGCTCACTTGCTCCAGGGCAAGCTGGCAGCCCCACAGAGAGCCCACGAGCGTTTATGTGGGTGCGCCACCTGGAAGCAGAGCCTGCACCCCCCATTGAGCCTTCGGGTGACCACAGCCTCAGCCACCATCTGGACTGCACGTTTCAAGAGCATGTTAAGATCATTGATGAGCTTGAACTCGGAGAACTCTGTCATATTGTCAAGGCACCAGTACTCTTTGAGGGGGCGAGTGTGGCATGTTCCTTTTTCATCTGATTTCCCAAAGTCCGTCACAGAAAACAAAGCATGGAAAGGCCACAGTGGCGGGGAGAGCAGGGCTGGCAGAGCTGCCTTCTTGGGGACTCCTTCCGCCTCGGGCTCTCCCTGGATGTGGGGTCATTTTGGGTGGGGAGGAGCTCCGCTTCCATCAGATCCAGGGCTCCAACTGAAGGGAAGAGACCTTTGCTTACTCTCTGCAGCAGTGTCCCAGCTGTCCCAGCAGGGGACATTCCCTACAGGGACTGTCTGCAGCAGGCTCCTTAGGATGGAATTAGAAAAGTACCGCAGACGGGGCCGAGTTGGCCGTGGGCTCTCTCCAGCACGGGCTGCTGTGCACATGGATCAAGTTCGCCTCTTGTTCTGGCAGCTCCAGCACTGCTGGTGGTTGGCCCAAATTTTATTTCAGTTCTCAGACCACATCAGGATCCCCTGGAAGTCTCATTAAACACAGGCTGCTGGGGGTTCACACGCAGGCCGGGCAGGGCCCGAGGGTTTGCCTTTCTCTCCAGTTCCCGGATGAGGCCGTTGCTGCTAGTGCTGGCAGCACACGGAGCATGACCAGTCTCGTTGTCTTCAGACTTATTGCAAGGTGTTTAATGGCAACTTATAGCAGTGTATGTTAGTATATAGATTGTCCACTCTCACATGTCCTGCAGAAAATTTACTCTGTTTGAACCAAGAACACTTACAAACTTTCAGCACTCTTGCTTGGCATAGGTTGGTTCTATATCCTTCGCTTTTAAGATTTTTGCCCAGGAGCCCAGGAAATTAAAAACGATCTTTTCTTCCGTGTCTGTTTCATTGCTGTAACACACACATGCATACAAACGGGCTCTCTCTCCCTCCCTCCCCTCTCCTCTCTCTTCTCTCTCCGTTCTCTTCTTCTCTCTCTTCCTCTCTCTCTCTCTCTCTCTCACACACACACACACACACCGTGACGTTAAATTAAGGAGCTTAAATTAAAAGCAAATTTCCCTATTCAGAAAGTCATCATCTGTTGATCATTTGGCTTAATTAAAATCTGGGTGTAGCATGTATTTACCACAACTCACTCCTATGCTGCAACCACTAATAGTGATGATGCCGCTTTATGAGTTGACTAAAGTATGTGTAACACCAGCACAGCGCCCGGCTCATGGTAAACTCTAAAAGTGAGATCACCCTCCATCTTATTCTAAAGGCTCAATTTCTAGCACAGAATACACACATGCTTGTAAGAATATTAATAGCAAGGAACTTGAAACTAGAATAAAAATCGCTTTAAAGAAAACCTGAAGCCATCAGTAGTTCGTAGCATACATATTGTTGTACCCAGTGCTGTGTGATTGGCGGTTCTAATCCTCGAGGACTGATGGCATGGTGACTGTGCCGGTGGTGCAGATGCCCTGGGCCTTGCTGGCACCTGGTGTACCTATCGGGGGCAGTACCTGTCTTTATTTTACTTCCAAAACTACACGTAGCAACTAACTCGGATGGTAATACTGTGAACAGCGAGGCTAGCTTCTATCCATCTTCTTGTTCAGTCCTGGGAAAATAGTAATGATGTGAGAATTGTTCCGTCACGTGATCACCTAGAATGTCACGTCAATAGGGCCGGTTGGCATGATCGTCTGTGACATCCGGGTTCTATGATCCACTGAAATAAAATCCGAATTCTGTGTCTCTCCCAGTCCTCCCCTCCTGCTAGGGGTAGGGCTTCTAAAAATAATCTGAAGTTTCATCCAGGGGCATTTCCTGGGGCTCGTCCAAGGCCTGGGTCTAGCATGGAGATAAGATGGGGCCTTCCCCTCAAAGGTTTGTTCTTATTTGGTCTGTTTTGGGCAGAGGCATGCATAAATACAAACCGTAAACACGATCATCCTTTTCACTCGTGTGTGCCGACAGCTGTGGCTGGCAGGTGAGCACAGCTGCCCCGCATGGTTTGCATTTCTCCGACACCCGTTCCCCCGATTTGTCGCTGGCATAGATGGAGTGAGTCCTAGTTTTGCAGGAGTTGCACACTTCTTATCAAGCGTTTCTTATTTGGGCTTTTATGATCTCGGGGTGAGAGACGGTAGCCTGGGCACTTGTTAGCTTTGTCTGGAGGTCCTGCTGGGAGGTGGCCCTGCTGGGTCCTCAGCAGCGTGAAGTTCCTGGGTGTCCAGAAAGGCAGAACGCTGGTCTAGGACTTCCATGGAGAACTGTGTTAGGCTGTGTTAGGCTGTGGTCCTGCCACTGGCAGGGTGCGACCTGATGCTGTGTCGCAAGCCGGCAGGGGTGGGGGTGGGGGGAGACTGTGCCTTGTGTGGGGCCAGCGGGGCTTCTTAAGGGCAGCGTTCCACTCCCTTTGAGCTGAGCCTCAAGGGAATGGTTGGCCAAGGAGTGGGACAGCGGGTGGCCCCAAGAATGACATGAATAGGAATGACGGGGGGGGGGGCTGGGAGTGGGACATAGTCTAGCCTGGAGGACTGGGACCATAGGCAGGGGCCAGGTGGGTTTTATTCTGAGGCCACTGAGGGAAGCCAGGGTCCCTCCCCTGCCCCAGCCACATTGCCCCCTCAGTGCTGCAGAAGAGGCAGGTCCCCTTTCCCCGAGCACTGCCCCACCAGCCCACGCCTTGCACAGCTCAGGCTCTCTGCACTTTCTTAGAGGCCTCTCCTGACCACCCCCCAACACACTTGTGCACACACATCCATACACACATTCACACGCATGCACACATGCAGTTCACATCCTTTCATACACCCTCTCACATATACACACACAGCTTGCCTCCTCTAGCTCATTCTCTCTCGTGCAACTCTCCTTTTTTTCTGTAGAACTCACCACAGTTTGCAACTGCAAGCCCACCTCCTTATTTATCTGCTGCCCCACTGGGTTGTCACTTACTATTCACCCTTATGTCCTCATGCACACATGGACATGTCCAGGGCACAGCCCGCCTGACATATAGACAGTGTTCGGTAATTGTTACTTACTGAATTAATCAATATATATGTTTTTTTACAAAGAACATCCCTCATTCAATATCTTTCTTGCATGTTTTTCAGAAAATGAGTTAAAAGACCAGTTTTAATTAAAATAGTGACATATTTCTAAAATAGACCCAAATATAAGTGCCCAGTAAGGCACTGACAAATCACAAAATTTAAATATTTCTCAATAAAATCTGTACTCGAACCACAGTGTGCAGCCCAATCTAGGATATTAGAAACTACATTTAAAATGCAACCAGAATTTTTCACTGCTCTTAATATTTTTAAATGTTTAGAATTAGAAAAATTTTGGTGGCTTAATTCTAATAGTGTTAGGAGTCAGAAGAAGGAATTTCTAGTGGCTACCTGCACACAAACCAGTCTTATTAAATTCCCAGGGCGGACTTTATTCTCCCCCCCACCAAAAAAAATAGATTGGGAAATGAAAAATTGCAAACTTCTTAAGCACCCAGGTTTGCACAGTTGTTGTCCATTCCACGATGAGTGTCCACTGTTCAAGTAACTAAAATGCATTTAGTCCTGAAACTGAACTAAGCAAACTCAGACTTGTCTCTGATGCAGAACCTCAGAATCTTGGGCTGCATCCGGCTCATTCTGAACATCAGATGCCCTAGCAGCTGGTCAACAGAGGCCCAGACGTCTGAGCGAGTGGTGGTGTGGATTTAGTTAAGTGGAAGATTCAGACGGTTGTACCCAAAACAGTTGGTTTGGGGTACAGGGACAGACCTCTCCTGCCGTGGCCCGGTTGTCACCCGTGTTCTGTTTCCTCCCCAGCCCAGTGACTTCTCCGTGTCTCTGAAAGCGGCAGGGAAGAACAAACATTTCAAGGTGCAGCTCGTGGACAATGTCTACTGCATTGGGCAGCGACGGTTCCACACCATGGACGAGCTGGTGGAACACTACAAAAAGGCGCCCATCTTCACCAGCGAGCATGGGGAGAAGCTCTACCTCGTCAGAGCCCTGCAGTGACGTCGGTGCCCGCGGCCCTGCTGCCCACCAGCTCCAGGCTTCGGTGCCACTCACCTCCCCAGAGCCCAGCAGCCAGGTCGCCCCAGCAGCGCCACCCACCGGGGGCTCTGCGCAGAGGCTCTGCCCTGCCAGTGGGTCGTCCTGGTCGGCGGCCCCCTCTGCCTAGTCTATCTTTCTGTTTGGGTTGGTTGGTCGGTCGGTTGGTCGGTCGGTTGGTTTCCCGTTGCCATCCAGGCCCTCACGCCTCTGCTCCAGCCACCCCCCCATCCCAGCCGGTTTTAGAGAAGGGGAGGGGACAGGGATGAGCTCGTTCACTTTATTCCTTTTCAATTGGCAATAGCGCTAGTCTGTTCAAATTGTTCGTGCTAACAGAAGCCCTCGTTAAAAAGACACCGGGCGTGGCGGGAACACTCGGAAGCCGCACTTGGCAAGGGAGTGAGCCACAGTGTACTCCGAGCTTGGGGCTCTGTGCGTGCCAGGCAGCAGGCGCGAAGGCTCCCCGGTCCCAGCAACCCTTGTTCTGTGCCCTGTGCCCTTACGTGGCTCCCAGACTCTGCAGGGAGCAAGCGCGTGTGCTGATAGCAATACTGGAACCACCGGGGGAGACGGCGGCGAGGAAGCTGTCCAGTGCCTTTGGGGCTGTGCTTGCAATAAAGAAAGGATTTCCCTGAAAAGTCAGTCTGCAGAAGAGGAAACCAGTGACTCAGAAAGACAGATGTTTTTCGTAATTTACCCTCATATGTGCCATCCACATAGTGCTTTTTCCTCTTGCCCTTCGGCTTGTTTGAATTTCACAATTATGTATTTAATTCTCAAAGAAATATGTATCTGTAGCCGTTTATTGACACTAATACAGATGATTAAGGAAAACAGCTGATCTTTGGGGAAGGGGCGCTACCAACACCTCACACACCCGCACATACACACACACACACACACACACTCTCTCTATATATATATAGATTATTTGCTTTACAGGGAAATTTTCAGGGTTTACAAAAGAATATGTGATTGGTAGTAAGAGACACACAGAATGTTTATGAAGAAATTGCATTTTCCTTTTCCTTTACATTTGAACTTCTTTATAGTTAAAATATACAGTTCTTGAGATGGCACATTCCTACAATTGAAGAAGGGGTCTTGAGATCCCCTAAACTTGCATACCCAGTTTTTTTGGATATTGTAATAAAAAAAAGTATTATGACAAGACTGTGTGTGTGTTTATCTTTGGGAAAACTCTGACTCAGTTACGGGAGAGTAATTACTGCAGCATTTTACTGAATGCTCATTGCCAGATGGGAAACATTTTTAGAGGTGAGCTTAACCAATTTATTAACCTGTGTGTTTTCTTTTTCTACCACCACTTTTGTATATTGAAATAATAAGTTTTCATTAGTGAACTGCCAAGACAACCCAGAATCTCAAGCTTGGTCTTCAGGAAACTATTTTTTTAGAAATGTCTTACTTACCAAACTGCTGTCAGCTGGAGTTCTCACATCCACTGTGGCCCTCCACCGATGTCTCGCATCTGTCCTCAGTCACTGAGCATTTATTGAACCGCCACAATGTGCCAGGCACCAGAAATGCAGAGTCTCCTGCTGCAGGCTCTGAGCCCTGTGCTCTCACTTGTTCCCCATCACAACCCCATGAGGTGGGTCCTGCCATCATCACATTTTACAGATGGAGAAAGTGAGGCACAAAGTAGATGCACAAGGACGCATGGCTGCAGCACAGTAGAGCAGGATGCAAAGCCCAGGGTCTGCTCCAGGCCATGCCCTTCCAACCCCAGCCTAGGGAGGAATTCAAGAGAAATGAGGTGTTTCAGGAGGGTTTGGCATGCTCTACCATTCCTGTTCCCTGTAAGCTCATTGTATCTTTTTGCTGCTCTTCATTATAATAAATTAGAAATCTGGTGCCTGGTAGCTTAGGTTGGCAGTGCCCAGTCATGTGTGAATAGACATTCAGGTGAGTGGGGCACATCGTTACCTTAGACAACACAACCTCTGCACCTTACCCGAGAGTAAAATTCTTGCAGACCCTTCCAGGTCTCACTGATGTGTGTGACATTTGACCTTATGCCAGAATGCATTTAAATATTGAGTGCCTGGACAGCTGGAAGACCTTGATTGACACACAGCAATTTGGGCAGAAACAAGTAATTAAAGGACAGAAGATTGATTTACATTTTGGCTTCAGGAACTTCTTTAAGGCCTATAGTTGCAACTGACAGTTATTTTCAATATTGTCACAAACTACCTTGTGAGAGTTCTCCAGCTGCTTGCGGTAGATGAACGTTAGTATTTTTTATTAAGGAGCCAGCACCCTGGGATATCCTGGAGTCGGTTGGACCAGTGGAGGGTGGATTGATAGTCCCAGGATGAGCCTGTGGAGAGAGTGCAGGCGAGGTAGGGGCCCCACGTGGTTTGCAGTGTGGCCACCGATGCTCTGGGCGGGTGGGCTTTGCCATCGACCTTCCTGAATGTCCAGAGATTTCCTGAGCAAATCCTGTTTTGCTGTTCTGTTACCTTTTTGCACAGACAGCAAAGGACAATAAAGGTTAGTCATTCTGTAGCTGGGTAACTTCGCTCACTTGTTTGCATTTAAATGTGCCTTCATTTTACATAAGCATCCAGCCATCTTGCTGAATCAAGATACATAAACACCAGGCCCTTCACACTCAGTTTATGGCCAAATGCTATTAAATGATGTTTCTAGGGAGCTAAAACTGTCCATCTTTTTCCCCAAAGTGCATTGCAAATCAAAATCTTAAATTATAATTAGAGTCTTTCTAGCTACTGAAGCTGATATTTCCAAACAAAGCATTTCTGGTTCCAGTATGACTGTCTTTGGTTTCTGTGTGCTAATTGGTTTGTAACCTCCTTTTTCCATCATTCCTACTACCCAATAATTTCTTAAGACCAAAGTTCAGAACTGAAAGCCTAGAAAAATTTTGAAAGTATTATGTTTAAATCTTGCTTTTCAATAAACATGAGTCTAGCTTTGGCCTTTTTCTCTCTAGAATCCAGCAGTGTTTGTTGTTAGTATGTGAGTATGGGATTAACGTGTTTGTTTCCTTTCTGACAGCCTGCCGGGTGCCGGCAGCCTTGGTTCACCCACAGTCATTGGAGCACCTGCTTGGAGCTGAGCCTATGGTGGTGCCCAGTAGAACCTTATCAGCCCTGAGATGTCAATCAAATCACCCTGCTTTTCTGGGTTTGCTCACAAGCCAAGTGGGGCTGCTGTCCACGCAATCCACAGGGTAGCTGGCGTAGCCCAGGTGAAGGTGCTTCGTGCGACATGCCACAAACGGTAATGGATGCCTGGCAGGCCTACCTGTGTCACAGGATCTGCTCACCATTTCTCAGTGCTTGAAACTCCTCCGGACCGTGTTAGCTGCAGACATCCTCAAAGAGCCCCACTGAAGAGCTGGCTCCATCAGGCCCTCAGCGTGTTTTTTACCTAGCCATCTTGGAACTGATCCACCCTGCTTTCTGGAACTTAGACACTGCAAGTGTTTGAAGAGGTGTTGCTTCAACAAACTCCATGGCCCATTTTTCATTCGAAGCCCGGGACCAAAAGCCACGCTCAGCCATGCTCAGCACTCACCTGAGCTGGATGACAAATTCACTTGCCTAAAAATGGTCTTCTTTTAGGTGGGAAACATCTTTCTTTTGGGGGTTAAGGGCTAGGGAGGGTGGAACATTCTCAGCCTGAGTCTGACAACACAAGTAAGTTTTGGGCAAAGGTTCAATGAGCCAACCAGCGTCCAGAACACCTGCACCCACTTCTCAGCAGATGGCACTCCCACTGCTCCAAGAATGCTGGCCATGGCTGTTCTAAGTACCATTCACTCAGACTCAGAGGGGTTATAATTCCAGCCATTAGAAAATGTGCTCTTTCATGCAGATTTCCTCCACCTCTTGGATTCTGATTTGGAAGGGCACAGGACAGTCATCTGTGTTGTTAACATGCTCCCAGGAGATTCCGATGCAGTGGTTCAGGCCTTCATTTTGGCTGCTACTTTAGTTTACTTGAAACCTCTGGGGAAAACACCTGTTCCTACCTCCTGGCTTGAGGACACACATTAATGTCAGCATATACCTTTTGCAGCATGTCTTTTTCTTTGGACCATTTAGAAATGTCTGGTCTTAAATGTCTGGAGTGTTGTTTTTTTTTTTTTTTTCAAGTCCTTATTTGCCCTAACCTCCATCTGAGTTCTGCACAACACAGCTACTAGCCACACAAGCCAAGTGGAAAGACACATGATGTTCTATCTTTGGATGATCCTGCTACTTTGGCACCAAGTTACTACTGAAGATGGATGAGCCAGGCAGCTGGTATAAAAGCTCACCTTTGACAGCTTGTAAGAAATGCACGATCTTCTTTCCAGGAGGTGGGCATTTGGCCAACTCTTCTGCTGGGTGACCAAAATCTACAGCCACAGTCAGGAGCCAGAGCACCAGGACCTTGTACTTGAGCTCTCGCTGGTGGGTGGGGGCACGTGGCCTTCCTGGGTTAGGTCATGGCCTGAGGAAGCCCCAAATCCAGAAAGTCAGTAGACTTCTATAAAGCAAAGGGCCTGTGCTCATGGTCCTGGAGCCAGCCCACCTCAGTGTCCACCCTGGGTCTGAGCCTGTCACTCCTCACCAGCGGCATGATCTCTAGCAAGTTCCAAAACCTCTGCCTAAATGGTGACATGCTGGTGCCAAGTTGCATTTTTTGTACAGCCATTTAAGGATGATATTATAATTTTTATGCATTATTATACATTTAGGCAAGGTAAACTGCTTTACATAACATAAAATGCTTAGCATCTTTGTACAGCTTACTAAATGAGCTTAATGAAAATGAAAAAAAATAGGTTAATGCACTAAATTGTTGTCTAAATGAAGCCAGTAGTGAGTAATCTGAGATTCCAGACCCCACGTTTGTAGTATCATAGAGACACTGTTCAAATCATTTCAACCTAGAACTCCATCTAGCCACACGTGGAATCCAGATGCTGACAACACATTTTTGCAAGTGTTGAGGGGTTCCCATCCAGTGCCCGGAACAGCAGGGAATAATACATTAAGGAAGGCTTGACTTTGAGGTGATAAAACGAACTATTTGTCCAACCAGAACATGGATGGCCAAATAGTATCTAAATCACGTTACTTCTACCACATTGGTCGATTTAGGCGTTGGAGGGTCAGGGGTGCCGTCTTTGCTAAAAGTGCTTTTGGAATTCGTCTTTGGGAATGATCCACTCGTACACTGTGGAGCAGCCTTTGATTATCGGTGGCGGAAAATCTTTAGGGTGGCTTCTTTTTTGAAGTGGGGAAGGTGATATTGATTACAGAGCTATCTAGAAATCATGTGGAGGAATTAGAGACATTTTTATTCTCTCCACGCTTTTTAATATAGCCTAAATTTTCTACAGCAGATATGAATCATCTGAACAAAAAATACATGGGAAGAAGGGTTTTATATGTTTTAAATTGCATGGAACCAAATTGGCTGAATAAAAATAGATGTTCAAATTGGTTGTAGCGATTGTAGAAAAATATTTAGGAGAAAGATTTATGCTCTAGATTTTGCTTGGTTTCCTAGTGGTTAGAAAATAATTGTGCCTTTAGTCAATATTTTCACAAAAAATGCTTGTTAACATGATTGGCAAATTTGAAAATGTAATGAAGTCAATTATCTGAATTCATTAATCTATTATAGGTAATGTAGAGAAAAATTTTGAGAACCTTCTCAATGAAGCCTTCCGACTGCCCCATTAAGACTGGAACCTGCCCACCTTTTTATTTTTCCCCAGTAGTATTATTAATGTCAACTTCTAACACTGGATAATTTACTTATTTATTATGGTCATTGTCTACTCTCTGTCAACACACACACACACACACACACACACACACACAGCTAGAATGAAGTCCCAGAGGGGCAGGGATATTTGTTTTGTTAACTGATACAACCTAAACAGAACAGTATTTTTCACCTAGTAGGTCCTCAGTAAGTATTAGGCTAATAGCACTGAATGAGTCAACCTGAGAGGAAAGAACAGCGTACTTTGAGTCCTTTCATATCTCAAAATGTCTTTATACTGCCCTTGAAAAAAAAATGCTTACTTGGCTGGATATGGTTCATGCATCACATTTTTTTTCTTGCGAAATTCTAAATGGTGTCTGTCCTCTTTGGCATTTAGTCAAACCAGTCCTAC